TCACACTTATGATTATATAAAAACTTATCTGTTTTAGATTATTTTACTACAATCATTGTCATCTCAATAAAAAGGAAAATGATATTAATTTCATAGTCTGTTAATGTCTTAGTTATTAAACATGTTTTGCTACATAGAAAATTGGACTTTGTTTTTATCCTTCACAGAACTTAATAAAGCAACTTACATAGATATTCAGCAATATAATATAATATTCAGTAATGTTGGTACAAAGGACTAATGAGTTGTAAGATGGATGAATGGGTAAATAAATTAACAATCTCACATTTAAAAATACAAGGTTTTTAAAGCTAATATGTGAGGCTAAGGATATATTAATTTGCTTGACTATAATCAATTCACTGCATGTATCTCAAACATCATATTATATACCATGAATATGACAAAGGAAATTAAGTCAGTATGTTGATGTGATTTCTGCAGTTAGCACTATTCATAATAACCAAGATACTGCATCAGCCTGTTAACACACGAATAAAGTGAGGCATATATACATATCGAATACTATCAAGCCATAAAAAGATAAAATCTTATCATTTGTGAAAGATGGATGAAAGATATACGAAGTGAAATGAGCCAGACACAGAAAGACAGTACTGTATGATCTCACAGAAAAGTTAATTTCACAGAAGTGGCAAGTAGATTGGTGGTCATTCATGGAGTGGCGGGCACTGGGAGAAGCTGGGCACTAGGAACCAACTCACAAAAGATGGCAGGAATAACTTCTGGTGTTCACTGCTCATTGGGGACTACAGATAACAATAATGCATCTCATTTTTCAAAAATAACTAGAAGAGAGGATTTTGAATTTTACACCACAAAGAATAAAGTTTGACTTGATGAATACGCTAATTATCCTGATTTGTTCATTATACAATATATCAAAACACTGTAAATTTGTATGTTATGTCAATTAAAGTTAAAAAGTGCTGAAATATTTTTTCTAGTAATAATTGCAAAAAGTATGCAAATTGATTACAACAGTATGCCACTTCTCAAGGAAAATAACTGCAGAGCTTTTCCTACAGTCAGCACGTTCTTGACCTTGACGGTTTCAGGGACCAGGATGTCTCATAGGTGCGGAGGCCTACAGTAATGGACTGGATCTCCCACTGTGTTTGACCCTGTCTCCCATCTAAATAGAACCCGTGGGCCCTTCTTGATATTGTGTCATCCATCCTCTCTTCACAATCTGTTTCTTGACTCATGGGGCTTAATTTATCTATTCCTTACAAAATTGTAATAGATGGGCTCCTCCCAGAGCCACATGGAAGCTCCTTTGGAGCAAGAAGACTCCATGAGGCAAAACCACACCTGAAGATTTTCTCATTTCCACAAACTAAAGTAGATGAGAGTCTTTTCAAAATAAAACGAAACTAAACATGGTTGGAGTCTTGCTCAAATTAATAATAATCTATTAATTTAAAATAGATCACTATCTATAACATGTACCCATATACATAATATATATAAAAATATATATAACATATTCTAAATAACATATATATAACATATATTATAGTTATATAAAAGTTATAGTTATATTATATTATAGTTATATAAAACTACCTTGCAAATATTGATTGTGAGGTGGTTTTAGGTAACCAAATGGTAGAAACCAATAGTTTGCTTATAGAGATGCTGCTGAAATCTTGTAGAACTCTTGTATCTAAATGTAGTAATGGTTCTAGCCCAAAGGAAGGTAGACATAGAGATAATGAACTATTAAGCTATGAGCTAGCACTGATAGCAGTAATTCCGATAACCCAATTCTGAGCAGGCTACTCTTAAGGTAAGAAGTGCTCATTATTCGCTTGCACCAATACAAGAATACCATCTGCAACTCGATGGCATCACTTGTCTTTTTGCAAAAAAAAAAAAAAAGGAAAAAGCAGCAGCCGCCTTGGGGGTAGTAGGCCTGATGCTCTGGTCTCATTGTGAGTCAGGTAATTATATCTTGCTTAGCTACATTTCCCAAGTCGTTTTATTTGAATTTCTTGCCTAACTCCGACACCTTAATTTTATTTTCTACTCTAACTCTTGCCAAGAGCTGCAGTGCACTGTTAATCAGCCTCTTGATTCAGAAGCAGAGGTAGGGACCGTGCCATCCCATCAGTGGGAAAAATGACTCCTGAAAGCAGTGGGACATCATCCTTCAGGCTGTGACAGAGATGTAGAATGTGGACTATGGTGGGTAAAGGACAAAGGACCCTGGAGGAGGGGGTTCTTATTGGGCAGAGTGTGTGATGTGACATTTATAATGAGTCAGATTAGGACAGGCGTTATGCATTTGATGAACACAGGTACCATCGTGGCGTCATAGGAAATAAGTTGAAAATTTGTGTTGAATTTTCTCGGAAAGGATTGACTAGCCCTTCCTGCCAACTTCTTAAAACATCAAGACTAAGCTATATGCCCTGAGAATGAGGTCGATAGACCACTTGGTCCTTTCATTGTTGACATGTGAAAATCAAATGACTTTAGGGACTGAGCTGCAAGTCCAGCCTTCAGGTAGAGCTGTGTCACAGCACAGGCTGGTAGAGCAGAGGGTGCTGGTGCTACCAGAGGAAAGTGCTGGATTTGGAATGTCAGAGCAGAGCGATTTCCTCTGATCCAGCAGTCATGCGCCTCTATTCAACCACTCCTGCTGAAATGCTCCGCTCCAGAGCTCAGGATGGCTTCTTTGCATGGTGTGGACTGTGGCACTTAGTGGGAGCTGAGCCGGTCTGAATTGGGTTCACGCTTAATTAATCAAAATTTTGTCCTAGAAATAAAAATGCAAAACACACATCTAAAATTTAGACATTTTTGGAAAAGAAGAACCACAGAAAGAAAATGATACTACATTCTTCAAAAAAAAAATTATACATTGAATATACAGTGAAAAACTTTGGACTCTTGAGACAAAGGAAGGAGGAACACTGAAACTCTGGAAGCTGAGGCTGGGTTAACTGGAGCCCTGAGTCTGTGCCCTGCCAGCACAGTGTAGGAAAGATGCTCAGGATAGACAGGTACCTCACTAGGAAACAGGCTTTTTATAACCAGGAACAGGCAGCAGCCCAGTTGACACAGGAGTCAAAGTATTTACGTCTTAATGCACAGGTGGGCTGGGTGGGTGAGGGTGTGGAGGTGGAGGAGGAGGATCTTGAAAGGGAAGAGTGTGCTGAGGTTCCATGTGGTGCTTGCCTCCCTCAACACAATGGTAGGAGTCAAATGTTAAGCACAATAGAATTCCAGAGACTCACCAGCAAAAACTGTTTTAAAAACGTCTTTCCACAGGGGATCACTGCCTTAAGGACACTGGTCTCATTCATTTTTTAAAATATCTACAGAAATTAGCTTTGTGCTTTACAGAGAGTAGATGTTCAACGAGTTGTGTTTCAGAAAATGAATGAATGAATGG